GCTCCTCGCCCAGGGTTCGGTTGGTAGAACCAAGTCTTCGAATGCGGACACATGTAGCTCGTTTGCGCTTCAAAAGAACCCATTGCATATTCGGTTAGGGTGTTACCCCGATGCTTGGTTCATTTAAGCCCCTGCCTTTGTGAAATGATGTGAACATGTAAGCGCCTCTTTACGGCGGCCACTGGTCACGGTTGATTCCATGTGTAATATGGTGCATGTGCGCGTTTCTTCGGAAGAGTAGGGGATTACATCCCGGTGTACTGCCCAATTCACCACTAGAAGGACCCCACTGAAACAGGGGATCTTGGTGTGATTCGAAATATTCCTATCCATATCCCTGTTAATGCAACGTGCTGCTCATTGGTTTCCATGGTAAAAACTATCAAGCCATTATTCTCATGGCACAAATATTCTTACCAGCTTATCACTCTACTTAATTTTGTGGCGATATTTAACAAGCATTTGGTATTGTCAAGCATTTCATATGTTTTGACTTTCTAAACATTTTCTAATTATATATAAAGTAATTATAATAATGGTTATATATTACTTCATAATTTTTAATTTTAAAATAAAATGTTTTGGTTGTCATTAATTGTAATTAGATTTAATCTGGTATTTAAATTATTATTATGATTGATATCTTTATTTCTAATTTTTTTTTTTTTGTTCTTATAAATTTATATTTCCATATTTCATAAACCTGTTCATATTTTTGCAATATGTTTTGATTTTCATATTGTCTGAGTTTCAACAAAAGTTTAATGATTTACAGTATGCACTTTAATATTCTCTTATTTTCAGTCTACTGTTTATTGCATTTATATCCATTGTGTTTTACTTTCAATTGTATTATCTATTAGCTGCAAATCTATAATTAACTTGTATTTATTGTTGTTATGTAATTGATGTTACAGGTTCTGCAGTGTTTAAAGGTTGCAAGGCAGAGGATATGCCTCCACATATTTATGCCACACAGACAAGAATCTACTTACCTCACGAACAGACCAGTCCATTTTTTTCTGGGGCAAAGTGGTAGCGGAAAGTCAACAAGTGCTAAACATGTAATCTGTTATTTGACTAATGTTGCTGGTTCAGTATATAATTTTGTCACAGGTAATAAAATGTAAAACAATCAAACATGATATACAATATATAAAGTTTTCATTTTGTGTATGTTTTATAACAAATGAGATGTGCAAGAAAGGATCCACGGACCACGCCCATACGCAATTCAGCACAGAATGGGTTTAGGCTAATTATCCTACCCGTTACCCTACCTTACATTTACCTATAACTTTTCACCTTGTGATTCCTGATAATGACAAAATTAATATCAAAATATTGAATTCAACACAATGGCGTGCATTGTAATACTTGGAGTATGTATTATACTTTCTTATCCAAGATTAATCAGTGGACGTTTCGGTTTTTGTAGATCTCTCGTCTATCAATAACTATGTAATTAAAAGTGCTTATAAACTAATCAGTAAAGACCTACCTCCCAAAATGGAAATAAACATAACGGAGATGGTGCCAGTTTTTATATGAACCGAAGCTAAATCTATGGCCTGTTCAAAGTTTCTTTCTCATCATAGTTCATAGTTTTATATTTGTACTCTTACTTTTATAAATAATCATTGGCGTATTTCAGTTTCCAAACTCTGATAGGAACAGATACAGGCTTAGATTAATTTAGTAAAAGTTTACAGTAAATAATAATATATTAATACTTAATATTCCTGCCCCGAAGACTAAGAACCAGGATGGTGCTCGGCAGGACATTAATGAAATTGTACAATATGCGATTTCATAATGGGTTCCTTCCTGTTCGGCGGAGTCAAGCTCACTAGTCATAAAGTTTGCTATATTCAAGACAAAAACAAACAAATTTCTCTTGCCGAATAACTTTTTTGACCTTGTGTAAAAGAAAATGTATTAGGACTATTAGGTGAGACGAGGGATTTGATTTAAATTTCACAAATTCATAGATCATGGTCGACAATCCTTCAAAGCTCGAAATCTGTTCTTCGTTCCCTTAAATCAGGTTTTATTCATTCAATATATAAAACACTGGCCTTTATATTAGAATATATTCAAGAGTATTTAGTGTTGCAAAATAATCAGTTCTCTTCTTAAAACCAAAACAAGCATAATTTGATACTTTTTGTGTTAATTTTATGTTAGTCATCCATAAATAAAAAATATCAATGCAAGGAAAACTATAATATAATTTAGGAATAAAGTAATTTCTGATCAGGGAATAGAAGGGACAAATTAATGTAAAATGGAATTCGTCTTCGATTTTAAATTAAATTAGAGTTTACGACATTGGTGTGGCATTTTATTCCTTCTTTCCTTCGACCTCAAATAACTTAAATTGCAGAAGAATGAGCTCTACGCGTATTTTTCATTAAAATTGATGGAACGTCCGCCCTCTCTAGAATGGAGAAAATAATGTGGCCATTTAACGAAGTGGAGAAACTAAGTAAACAAACAAACTCGAGCGGTTCCTTTGATTTATCTATTATAAACATATAGCGTCGCCTCTAGGATGGAGGAAAATTGCTCGATGGACGCCCTCATGGACGTTTCACTATATCGCGAACTGCATTTACTTCCTTAATTTATTATCTTTGTCGACCTCTAAACAGTCTTGACGTTTAAATATAAATGTAAAAATGGTACTTAACTTATTGTTATTTTTGTTTTAAAGACGCTAAGTACTTTAATTTTGAATGTAAAATGTTTAAAATATTTCTAATTATCAAGGTAGATAAATCTAAATTTAACTTCTTGATAAATCTGTTCTTGTTTTCAATTTTCTATTCGAACCAAGCATACCCAAAGCCAGTGAATCAAAATAAATGTGTAGCGTGCTTAGCACAACACAATTCATTTCTCTTAAATTTAATTAACTGATCATTTAAAAAGAAGCCTATCTTTGACAAATTTCAATAATATGTAACCAATAACGAATAAGAGAAATAATGAAATCAATTTACAATGGATATCTGCCAATTTCTGCAGTAACGGCAACAATGAGCGTTTTTGACAAGTTCTAAAATACATCTGGAAAAACGTGTGTATCACAAAAATTCCACACTCATAAATTAAAATTGGTAAAATTTTTGTATTAAAGAGTTTATTAAATATATATCCATTATTTATTTTTAGATATCCGATTTCTTCAAGATTAAAGAAAGGCCAATAATCCATTATTGGCCTTTTGACAGTTGTGTTCTATTGCATTATTCCAATGACCGTTTTAATTAAATACAACTCCTGATCTGTGCATGATGTAACAATTTCCATTTGAACATTCTTATAATACCATTTTTTCCATCCTCCATTTTAAAATACCATTATTTCTTTTTATTTATTTACGTTCACAATAAGTCCCCATGTGTCACAAAATATTAAGCTTATTTTTTTTTAAACTTTAAACTGTATCTCCTACATGCTCCTACTAATAAAATATCATCAGTGTATATCACCTTTTGTTTTGTTGTAAATTAATTGAAAAGGATGTACAGTAATAGTATTGGATTCAATACTAGGTAGCTATAACGATTGGAATTTATAGACCTATATCGATAAATTATCTGCATCTGCTAAATGTCTCAACTTAGTTTAACAGTTAAATGTCAGTCGTGTATCTAGAGGGTGCGCGTGCGCCCCCTCCCCCCAAAAATTACTCGCGACCCCCCAGCCCCCAAAAAATCACTATCA